AGATCAAGTCCGTCAGGCACATTTATACCAAAGATCACCATCATAAACTGCTCTTATCCTTCCACTAATTCCCTTTAGTCGATTACTGTTTCCTTACAGTAACCAAAAATATACCAAGTAAATCATGACAGCTATGAAACAGTCTCAATAACATTGCGTGAATTCGTTGCCTTAAAGTAAAACCTAGACAAGAAATAAACGCTATAACTATACTAAAAAAAAATAAAAAAATAAAAAAAGGGAAAAACAACTGTGTAACAAAGTTAATTTTCAGATGCAACAAACAAATCTTTCTTGAACGAGAAGGCTAACCCGCAAATCAATAACAAATAGATCCTTACACATCAACGCACTATTCATATGTTGAGCATCAGAAAAAATTATTGTTATCATTGTGTTTCAACTTTTTGCCGACGCAAAAGCTGCTGCAACTCTGTTTCAAACATCAAATCCGAAATCTGTTTTTTCAGCCTCAACGAATCGATCGGAGCACACTCAGCAAGTCGCCGGAGAGAAGAAGCAACACTCTTCCCTACAAAATAAATTGTCTAATGCACATTACGTTGTCATTTGCAGTAGTGATCGAAAACAAATGTAAAAATATACCGAACAAAGTATACTCGTCCTCAAAGTCATGCTTTGTCTGCGAGCTGTAATTTGCTGCTTCACCGTCAATTTCGAAATTTTTCCTTTTGACACCTTTTCGTCTTAGTCGTACGAGAGACGAATTTGTAGGCTGATGCAAAGGAGACTGTGAAGGTAAGCTCTGTAATAACTTGTGATACTATTTAGTACCAATTAAAAAACTGTCTTTCTAAACAAGAAGAATAAAAAACAAAATCGAACAACACCAAAAAAATTTACACCACTTTTAACATTTATCAATTACAGCTGAAAAGTAAAAAGAATTTTTACATCAACTTCTTCAGGACAATGAAGAGAGGTATTTGGAGGCAAATCACGACCATCACAGTGGTATCCATTTTGCATCGGTTGTGTCGTTGACATACGGACTTCTGATCCGTTTGCACCATTTTCACTAAACCGACAAGATAAAGTTTGCAAAATTCTGTTCAAGTTCTCCCCTTCCCCTTAAAGTAGCATCCAAAAGTATTCTTACTGGAAAACGTTCGTTCTATCCTCTTGCATTGGTTTATCGACAAGTGAGTGAAGGGAGGTCATGTACGATTCAAAGCTGGCACAAGCAGCAGCCTCAACGTTCATACTGTAATACGAAAAATCAAGTAAAAGAAATGAAATATATATTGAAAAAATTTTAAATCTATTCAGTAAGATACGTTATCACAATGACAATAACGTCGCTAACTGATGAGTCAAGAATTTTGGTTTCTATGAGACCGTATGGCAGTGTTGTAAAGTAAAGCCTTTAAAAGGATTCATCTACTAAGCTAATGTAACAGCCCTTTTAATTTTTTCCTTTCCTTTTGTCACTATTCTGTGTGCCACACGAAGAAACTTTACTCCAAGAATCAGAACCTTACCGAAAAAAAAATTAAAAGTGGCCACTAATAATGAAAGTTACTTTACGGACTGAATGATGACTGTTATGTTCTAAAAAATTAAACAAAGTGACCAAAAAAAGTTTCGCGTAAACCCAGCAATTTTTTAATCCACTCTAGCTTTCTAGATCCCTCTGGTTAGAAGAACACCTAAAGCTGTCGCACAAACGACGATTTTGTCGGATATATAAGGATAGAAAACTTTACCACATAGCTACAGGAAGTTTCAGATATACTGTTCTAAAAACAAAAAATTTAAATATTCCATTAGAATCAATTCTTTTGTGGCAAAAACCTGTTCAATTTTGGAACAGCTCTTTCTAAATATGCTTCAACAACAGTTAAGGTATCTCTTATTATTACAAACTTTTAACAGCTAATTCAACATCTACTATGAAGCATTTTTGAAAACTCAAAAACAGTTTTTTAAATTTAAGAAAGACAAATTGGCAAATCGCTGTCCAAAAAAAAAATTCTTTTCCAGGTTATACATACAAAGCTTCTTAAAAGCTGGAAAAATAAAAAACTCGGCATTGGAACACACATGCCTCTTTACAAATACAGTAGAAAAAAATCTTCGCTGCTTATACAGCACGTTCCAAACAATGAATGAATTCTTCGCTGCTTTGAACGTAAGTCCTTTAGAAACTTTTACAAATTATGCTTCTGGTTTTCAGTCGTACACTACAGTTATATTAGAAGTTAAATATACTTCTTCAGTGTAAGAAAGGCAATCCGCCAACTTCTCTGTATCTACCTCTTTCTAGCCTGACAAATATCTGCAGTTTTCTGTATGACACTCCAAAAATAAAATTCCATAAAAAAACTAACAACAACCTAGACGTAAACTGCACTACTGCACAGTAAACTCAATTAGAAAAAACCATAAGCAGAGGTAAACTTACCCAAAACAGCCTGACTATCACCTATTAATGTATAATAACGTATATATAATACCAAAAAAAGAGCCCAAATAATTACCAATTTTTTGGCAATAGACAGAGAACTAGTTATTATTTGAAAAGAAATAACTCTGAACTCACTTCTGACTAGATACTAGGCATGACAGTTCTCTTATAAAACTATAACATTAAAAGGGTGCAACAAAAAAACCAACCCAGATTACAGCTTCTGAGGAAACTTTTTTAAAGATCAACAAGCCAGTGACTGCTACTACAATTTACTTTTGCAACTGAAGTTGTAAAACTGAAGTTAATCCGATAAAAAAAACTTCTAGAAAAGCTAACTTGTTTATGGTTGTTGTTGGTGCCTCATTATGACAGTCATGCTTTATAAACAACATCTTCGACCAAAATCTCCAAGTTGGTTCAGCATCTTCCACACCAGCTTCTATATCGGTCATTCTTTTTTTCATCTTCCTTTTAAAAGTATCTTTCAAATTTTTCCACTGGTTTCTTACATCATCCTCTGCAAAACAATCACTTCTACTCGACCAAACTATTAAAACTAGCTTTCTGCTAAGTCTTTATGCTAATAATGATAACAATAACGGTAATAATAGTATCAATAACAATTAATAATTAACAGTTAATAATCACTTATTAAATATTAATTATTAATCATTAATTAGTAATTGTTAATCATTAATTATCAATTATTGATAACTGGTTATAAATAATTAATAGTTGGTAGTCAATAATAATAATAATAGTAACAATAATGGTAACAGTAATAGTAACAATAATAGTGATAATATTGGTAATAATAATAATAGTAATAATGATAATAACAATAGTAATAGTAATAATAAAAGTAATAATAATAACAGTGTTAAGATGAAATAAAATTTATAAGAAACCTGTGAACATCTGCGATGTACATGCTCCAGAAGTATTAATGATATCGGCAATTTCGCTGTATACCTCTTTTTTACGTTCCGTAGATGCATATCTTTCCTAAAAACCAATTCATCATCATATATGGCAGTAGTAACCATCGTTTTGATAAATAGTTGTCTTTTTTTCTTTTTCTCTTCTTTTTTTTTTTTTTT